CAGGAATGAGCCGATCCTCCCAACTTTCTGAGAGGAAGATGAAATGAAGAAAGGTTGTCCCACTTCAGGAGCACTCATTACAGAAGCCTGATTATCTGACTATTAAGTGTCTTTATTTCAGTATTAAACAGGGGAGAGCCAGGGACCAGATGTCCCAGGCAGCATTCAGCTGCCCAGCAATGAAACTGTCCTTCCCTCTCCTGCAGTTCCCTGGATTATTTATAACACACTTCCAATTTCTGCAACAAATGGGACAGTGATCTTACAGACACCAGTCTCCTTCACTGCAATCACTGATTCATTCTCCAGGAGGTGCTGGGGAAAAAAAAAGTTACTATGAGATCCTTTAAATAGTATCTCTCTGGAAGCATTTTGAGGTGTGCTGGGGTTGAATTAGTCATCTTAGTTCCTAACCTTTGACATGTGAGTGCTCTTTTAGTGACGTTTTAGACTGTAATATGTATTATTTCGTATTACAAAGCAACTTGAGTGTTGCTTTAATGTAGTTCTAAGACTGTAATTTATATATTGTAAATGTCTCCTTCTTAGGGGCTTCCTGAGTAGCATCCTCCATCCTGGCTTTGTCTGATCCATGCTCAGGGATGAGCTTGGTGTACGCTGATACACAACAGAAACATGGGCTTGTTTGTCCCCTCCTGCTGACACTGGGGTAGTTGGAGAGGTGTAGGTGGGACTGTTACCTAAAGCCCAACCTTGCATTGTGAAGTCCTTTGTTGGTGAGGAGAGCACGGACCCTCCACCGCAAGGAGGAGGTCCTAATGTCAACGTGAGACATGTGAATTCTATGATTCTATGACATTTCCTAATGAGGAAGATGGTTTGTCCTTACAGTCCTTAGATAGTCTTCACTGGCACTAGTCTATCTATTGACTATGGAGGGAGCTTGTTTCAGCCTTGTCCTTGCCACACTATGTCAGACCAGACCTAGCTGCACTCCAGGCAGCAAGGCTGGGGTGACCCATCTTCATGTCCCCTTTCGAGATCAGCCTAAGAAATAACCGAGCCCTTTCAGGAGCTGCAGCTTTCTCTCAAAATTCAGTTGGAATGAGACTTCACACTGAAGATCTGGGTGAAGTTTAGCAATGTTAAATTAGCTAAAAGCCCAGTCATACAGGGGACAGCAGTGGGCAACCATTAGCCCTGGGAGGGGCAGTGAGGCCACCCAGCACCACAAACACCAGCGGGCTGTGGACCATGGTGGTTTACGGGGTTAGGTCTAAAAGATCTACAGCTATTTTTTGACCATCCTGCCTGTGTGGTGTTTCCACTCCGCCGTGCCAGGCTTATCATGGATTGCTCCAGGGGAGTCATCACGTAACAGCAGGACAGAACTAGATCCTCCTGTCTCCTCCTGGTCCCTTATCAGTCTGCCAGATGTCCAAGGGTGTCAGGCCTCAGGCAGAAAGCTGCAGAGAGGAGGTGAAGGGGTACCAGCTTCACTGCAGGTCTGTGCCAGTCTCTGTACGGCCCAGCTGACCATGGAGCTACAGCTAGGACAACTGCTCCTCCTGCTTTCTGGTCTGTCTGCAAGCCCAGTCTGCTCTCCAGGTTGGCTTTTAGCCTTTGCTGTCACGGTAGCGTTTCTGTTTGAGGTGAAAAGACGTTACCTGGGGGCTCTGATTCTCTCCTCTTGCCTTGTCCTCATTTGTTACCAGGTTAAAGCAGGCTGGTCCCTCAGGAGTCCTGCTTATGTCTTCTGTCCTGCGAAAACAATGCAATGAGGAGCTTTAGCTCTGCCATATCTTTTTACCATGCAGGGAAGGCAGCAGTGGTGCTTGATGGGGAAAAATAAAACCAGCACATGAGCAGAGGACTGTATGAGTCAACAGGCGGGAGACAGAAAGGCCAAGGTGGTGTCTGGAGAGCTGTTGCAGTGTAGGCTGCTGTCATTGCTGGGTGGGGAGGTGGCCACGCATATATCATGGTTTTTTTTCACCCTGTGAGATTGTGGGGGAAGCAATGATGGGGAGACGTGATGTTTGGTCGAGCAGGAAGGCTTCCCAGCCAAGCAGCTGTGAGCCAGAGCTTGAAGTTTGTATCTGGCATATTTTCTTTCCTTACCAGCAAGCAGGTGTCTACCAGGAGAGAAGATACGCTGGCTCAGATACAGATTTACTGCAGGGACAGGATGGTCCTTGGATGGCATCCTCTGAGGTCCCTTCTGGATGTCATCGGGGAAAACCATACTTGGCGTGCATGCCACCTGCGCGAATATTTTTCATTAGTATCACACCACCCGCTTGAAAAGCTTCAGATGCTTTCCAAGTGCGAACGAAGGAAGTTTCAGCCAACCCTGCTAGGAATTGCTGCACGTTGTCCTCATTTCGTAGGTTAGGAAACTGAGGAACGGAGAGGTGGTGATTATTCTTCTGGTCAGACACACGTGAGCGTGGGTGCATCTTTCCTGCCTTGAGCCCTCATTTAGGTAATGGAGATGATACAGACCTTCCTTCTCCTCCTGTGGATCACTTCAGGCTATAGGCAGGAGGGGACGTTCTTGGAACGCGTATTTGCGCAGCGCATTGCACCGAGGGGGGGATCTGTGGGTGCGCCTTTATATAGCCTTTGTAATAC